AATAATACAAATTAGAATCTATATGGACAAAGTTTGGTCAAAATTTAAAAGGCTTAAGAACATTTACACCCTTTGACTCCAAATTTTCCAATGAAGACCATAACACTAAGGAATTATAGTCATACAATAAAATTTAATGTCAACAAGAAACTAATAAAACCATTGTGTACCCAGATGAGGCGGCTGTACAATTAATCAAAGTGTAGACCTAGAGCGGCACAGAGGTTAAAGACACAGCACCATCAAGCTACTACCAGCCACTGCAATGTGAGCTTGATCCCTAGGCAAAGAGATAACATGGTATAGCAGATCTCCCCTGTCTCTCTCAGCAGTGTACTTCAGTAGATCCCTCTGTTCTCCTCCCTACTGTCTCTGGTGAATACTCACCCCCTACACTTCTTGCCTCTTGCATGCATAAATAAATCTTTAAAGTGAAAGAAAGCAGACCTAAGTTTACTAACACAAAGCATATTGATAAAAATCAGGTCACAATTTAGTATATAAAGTATGAGCCAATATAAAATAAGACACACACACAGAAATAAAATGTCAAGATAAAATAAAAAATGGATACTAAAATGAAGTGATTATGGTTAAATGGTTAATTCTTAGTTATACCTCCCTACAGTCTAAAATAAAGCAACAGAAATACATATTTCCAGTATTTGTAAGCAACATATCATCCGCAGTAAGATATATTACATCCCTTAGGTTTTAAAAAATAGGAAGAGATTTTTTCAAATGATCTGAATCCTATTTACTTTTCATAGCCTCAAATTATCAATCCTGTATTCTGTCTTAGAAATCATAAATTAAAACTATTAATAAAGCAAGGACTGCACATATTCAAAATAGAAAAGAAACAAAAAAGGCAGCTGTCAAGAAGTTGTATGAATTTACTACCCAGCACAATCTGCACTGGTGTAGGTGACGGTACTGATATTTGATTCACATGGTCCTCACTTTCACTCCAAATAATCAGTCCTACCTGGGAAATAGCTAATTAGTAACACTCTCCTCAGCTGAAAGCCTGCAAATGGCATCCCCAACCAAACTTGCTAGTCTACTATAGCAAATTCCTGCATTCTAGGTATGTTAACTTGAAACTTTTAACACTAAAAATAAAATGGCATTTATTTCAACCTAAAAATGAGTTGCCAAGTTGCTGTCACCACAGCATGGTGACTAGAACTAGCTTTGCAGTTATCCAACCCAGGCTCATAATCCAACTCTGCCAATGAAATAAATGTGTAACCTTAGGCAAGCCAATTCAACTCTGTAACTTCAGATACAGAAAAGGCCAAGATAATGACTCCCTAATGCACAAATGATTCGAATGACTTACATCCTAGAGCCCAATATATAGAAAGGTAGAAAATAAATGACACTATTATTAACACTGGCATCATTCTGTGCCACAGAGGTTTTAGAGTATTGCATTATTTTGCAAGGTCTGACTCCTGATTACCTGATAAACAATCAACTGGCTGAATCTGGGTATCGGAAATAACCTAAATATTGACTCAATTCATCTTGGTGTAAAGACATCCAGTTATTCCAGTTCAACAATTCTTAAAAATTGTTGAGGGTTAGACCTCATTTAAATTGGTTCACATTTTTTTAAAAACTCAAAAGATGTTTGGCTAAAAATACATAGAGATTTCCGAGTTTAACTACACACACACGCAAGCGCGCACATGCACTTCATTTGTGAGTCAGTCTGAATTTTCCTTTGCAGGTCTAATTAACTACAGTGGGCATCTACAGAGCAGAGAGTAAGTCTGTTGTTCACCTTTATATGTACAGCACTAGTATAAGTCCTGGCACATACCAAGTGTTCTTTAAATATTCACAGTACTTAATCTAGAGAAAAGTCATTCAGGAACCTTAAGAGCGCTCATACTAGAAAAAGATATAACCTCCCAATAAAAATTTGGCATTTTTCTTCTTCTATTTTCAACAAGTGACTACACAAGCTACACATCAGATGTTAATACTAAAGTTTCACAAACAAAAGACAGAAAACTCTAGGAATAGTAGCACCCCAATACAAAGAAAACCAGTTTTGTTGTCAGGTGAAATCTGGAGTTAAAATGTCAGCTCCGGGCCCTCCCTGGTGGCGCAGCGGGTTAAAGCACAGCACAGAGAAGCTTAAACCACTTCCGCATGAGTTCGATTCCCGCCTAGGAGGTGACCCATATGGCGTGACAGACCTCTCCTGCCCCCCCGCTGCTCCCCTCAGCACTGTATTTCAGTCTATCTGCCTGTTCTGTACCCCACTCTGTCTCTGGTGAATCCTCTCACCCTCCGCATCTCTGGCCTGTACCCCAGTTCTGTACGAATAAATAAATAAACCTTTAAAAAAAAAATGTCAGCTCCATCTGTTTATGGCTACATAAATACTAACTTGTGTCCAATTACATGTATCAGCTCTAAGACTCAGTTTCCATAGCTATAAAATAGGGATAATAATACCTAACCATAAACCTAATACACGCAAAGCACCAATTACAATTGTTAGTAATTTTTATTTTTTGACAATTTTACTCCGGTAAATGAATGATATATTTAACTCTTGGTTGATCAGCCCTTTTTGCCTTTTCACAGAAAGCACAAACTAGAAGGACTGTAGCATGACTATCTTTTCTTCTGTTTTTCAGAAGGTGCACTAACTCGGTCAAGTAGGCTAACTGGGCAAAGCTGAAACTGCTCATGGGTTCACTATAATGATTTTAGGGAGATTCAATCAACCAGAGCTAAAGCTAAGTCAACCAGGCTCTGCCCTCTTCAGGTATCCTGTTCTAAATGGGCTTGCTGAGAGCTGTCCAATATCAACCAAGAGTGATCTTGGTGATAAACCAAAGATGCAGCAGAGCAACAATGGGCATTCTTTAAAAGTCTAAACCCCAAATAAATCACAACATTTTAGTACTGTATAGAGACTGGAGATAGAAGTGTAGGAAAAATGGAGATAAAACAGTATGCAAAACTAATGAGGAAAAAGGAAGGTCTAGTATTCCAGGCTCATTAATACTTTCCACTCACAAATGGAACAAAACAGAATAATGCTCCCAACCAGCTGAGTACATATTTCATTTTCTGTACTGCATACTTCAATTATATACTACAGAAAACAAAAGTCTCACAAGTAAACAAAATTCCCTATATACCTCTAAAGACAGTATTTGTTCCATTCACATTTCAGTGACTACCAATCAACACTTCACCTTATTCAAGGTCCAACCAAGGCAATGTTCACATACATTTTTCTCTCAAATGATTTTCACATGAGAAAGGAATGGAAGAACTTTTAAAAAATCGGGGGTTCCATTTTCAGTAAGGTAGGAACCCGTATTTCCTCCCACTCATGCCATCTTCAGAAAATGCACAATACCATTACTAAAATATAGTGAATGTTGCCTTCCAACAGTGATTTACTTTAAAATGAGAGTAATGATAAGACCTCATTAACAAGTACATTTCTTCCCCTACTAATGTTTCTGGGGAAAAAAAGTTGGATCAGTCCACTGAAAACCAACTGTAATATTTAAGTAAGCATTTTCAGAAAAAGTAGACATACACTATTATTATAATGTAATGTGCATTATTTAGTACCAAGGAGATTACACACAATAATGTCTTTTCAACATTTTTTGTTAAAAGTTGCATCACATGCAAGGGAGCTGTTTTCCCAAAGATAAATACATGTTACACTGGAGCATCACTAAAAGGTCTAACCCCTGGACTCTTGTAAGTTATGACCCACACTTTTATAGATTCTAAGGCAACATGATCGCATAGAGAATTCACTCACAAATTAATTGCCAGTACTGTCTTCTAAAGAAAGCAATTTGAATCAATAACCTCACCAATGCTACTCAGAATGTTTGCCAACAAGTAAATTAAATGCACAGTCCCAATATGAGGGAAATTTCCCTCCTTCCTGGCTCCCCAGCTCCATTAAACTGTAAACATGAATAGAAAGATAACCTTGAGAACAGTAAAGTCACCCAGGCCATCAAAAATATCTAACTCATTTCCTGATTGTATAGTTTTTTTCCTACAACCAGGCAGCCTCAACAGGATGCTGGGAATTTAATACTGTGTTTTAAAGATACTTCAAACTGTCTGAAGTATGCAACGATGAGAGCTGAATACTGCAAACCATACTTAATTAAATACATGCTTTCTCTAAGCAGAGCTTCCCCAAGAAAGCCACAATACTTTTTCTGCCTTGGCCCTCAAAGTCCACCCCAATAAGTGAGGTCAGCCCAACTGCACTCCTAACAGTTTTTTGTTCCTGTGCATCTCCTCCCATCCCCCTCCCACCCCACAAAGTTTTACTTTTATCTGTGGAATTCTCTGCCAGCCTCAGCCTGGAAAACTGGGTTGACGAACCCTGAGGACAGGTGTCAGATCTGGCCTTTGGAGGTGGCCCAAACTGACAGTTATTGGCAGCATAAAGCTGTGATCTTTAGAAACTTCAATTTGAGGCTTTATACCATTAATGATTCCCTTTCTACTCCTTTTTTTGAAGGAGGAAGAGAAAGCAAGCCAAAAGGATGACTTTCAAAATAGAAAAATCACCACTTTAATTATGAAACTCTCCCAACTCAACAAAGAACTGTTAAATGTAGCCAAATGGAAAATGTCAGGTTTTTTTTGGGAGGGTGGGGGTCAGGGGAGGGGGGTGGTTCATGCGCAACTATTAAAACAAAAGAATCACAACTTCAAGGTGGGAGGGTTAGGGTATAAAAAGGAATAAAAAGCAGGAGCAGAAAAAGAGGAGTGGAACAGGGCCCAGCCAAAGACCCACTTGCTCAGAAGGGCCCCTCTCTTGGACTAACACCTCCATGTGGGGCACCCAGGCTGGAGGAAAGCAGAGGGTTACACAGAACATTTAGCAGACTTAACATTGGATTAAACACACTACTGCAAGTTTCAACAATGTTCAAGGCATACGTAAAAAACACATTTACAACAAGAAAGAAGAGAGGCACCTGGAGACATCTGACACTGGGCATGCTCTGCAGGCAACTCAGTGCGCACATGCTCTCTACCAGGTTGGCGCAGCCTAGCCACAAAGACCTTGGCACAGAACACTGCAGGATGACAAAAAGGAAGGAAGAGAAGAAGCAGTTAGAGGCCGCAACAAATCACTCCTTCACACAGGCAACTTGAATGTTAGTTGGGCAGGGGAGGCACCCTTGGAGGTCTGAAGGTCAGGGAAGGTGGTCCTAGACAATTCACTAAAACTTTGGGAGAGGGCCCACTTTCTGTCCTACAGAGAGGAGGTTTCTGCTGCCAACTACTATTCTTTGGGACACAGGGAACAGAATCAAGAGGGGGAGAGAATGTTTAAATGAAAACCCACTAAAGGGAATTGTGAAAGTTTGAGTGCAAAACAAGATTAGTGGTGAGACTGTGACAATTACTTCAGAAAAGTAAGTTTCTGGTATATGTCAGAGAATTGTAACTGCCACCATTATAAGGACCTACCATGTGCCAGGCACTTTAAGTGGGTTTCTAATTCCCACGCCACAGTGTAAGGAAACAGACTCAGAGGTTAAGTCATTTGCACAAGGACACACAGTAAAAGGAGGGGAGAGCCAGAATTTCAAACCTTAGTTTGTCTGCAAGTAAAACCCACATTCATTCCACACGACTATATGATGCCTCTATTGTCAAAACTTTGACCATCCAATTTTTTATCCTGTGGGTAGAGAGGTTTGCATTTCCCTAAAGTGAAAATGCAGGAGACCTAGAGGCATTAGGCAAAAGGAACATGCAAGATGAGTGATAGATTGATAGATATAAGCAATAAAACAGCTAGTTAATAATAATACATTGGTTTTTCAGTGTCACCCACATTTCTGCCTTCCAAAAACAAACTTAAAAATGTCATGATATATAGACAATGGATTATTACTCAACAATCAAAAATGATAAACACATGCCTTTTGCAGCAACATGGATGGAGCTGGAAGGGATCATGCTTAGCGAAATAAGTCAGAAAGAAAAAGAAAATAAGTCAGAAACCTGGATGGTTTCACTCATAGCAGGAGTATAAAGGATCAGGGGGAAATAGTAATAATAATAATGAACAACTATATACCAGAGACATTTTACAGGGGTGGAGTGGGGAATGGGATCAAAAACAGAAGAGGGTGGGAAAAATGCACTGGACTATGGTGATGGCACACAAGTGATTTGGTGATGGGAAGCCCATGGGGATTACAGCTGAGATGGAAAAGGGCACAAAATGATGTAAAAATAGACTATTATGTTAAAAAATAAATAAATAAAAATTTTAAAAATGGCATGATAATACATTTTGGACTGTTTACAAAGTTTATTTGATTTGAAGAATTAAATGCTTATTTCATTTACCCATTCCCATTCTCTTTTAAAGGCTTGATGATTTTAAGAGAATTAAGAAAAAATATATAAATGAATATATGCATTATGGCTAATACTTAATAACCATGTTTCTTTATGGTATTCAATAAATACATTTTTGGACCTAAGATCAATTAATTTACTTTGGTAAAATCAATGATCATGCAAAAAAAAAAAAAAAAACCCTGAAAGTATGTGCTTGGGTTCAACGAAAATACCCCATAAATCTCAGACCCAACATCATAAACTTGTTTATCCTAACCATAATTAGAATGCTCAAACACCTTCATTGTCCTGGGACAGTCTAGGTTTACATTTTTTTGTCCCATTTTAACTTTCACCAAACCCTTGTGGCTTGGTAAGATTTCTATGGTCACCACCAAGATGTTATAAACAAAAACAGCTTTGCTTGAAATAAAAAAAACCTGGGCTCCTATTGTATACTTGCCAACTAGTAGCTACATTTTACCTATAACATAATCATAATCTGAGATCATTGAGAAAAGGCATTTTGAAAGAATATAAAAATCAGAGGAATTAAGTGGCATAAAAAATTGAGGGGCCTTTTGGTAATAATGAAAATGCCATCCATTCCAACATGTGCCTTTATTTCAAAAGCTTACCATAGTCAATACAGAAGTGTAGCACTGGTTATTCCAAGCAAGTGTATTTTGTCAACAACACTTTTGGAGTGCCACAAAAGATTCTGAAAAATGTTTACATAATATACTGAACATTATTTGCCATTGAGCAAGCTCTTGTTATGTGCTAGACATCTAGTATACATAGTAAACCTCACAGAAGTTTGTGTAAGACAGTTATTATTCCATTTTACAAAGGAGAAAACCAAGGACCAGGAAAGCTGTACTTGTTAAAAAAGAAACTTTCCAAGAGGCAAAAGACTAAGAGCTAACTGATGACAGAATCAGAACTAGAAGTTAACTCTACCTGACTTTAAGAAAATTTATTTTCTTAGACAAATAACAAGTTCTGTATATGGAGCAAATGCTTGTTAAAAGAAATATACTAAAATGTATCAGAAGGAGAGAAGCAGGCAAAAGGCCTACATATTATATCACAGATATTTAATTTAAAAAACTTCCAAAACCCCTTAGAGTTCAATTAAACCTTTTTTTTTTTAATCTTTGTGGTTATCTAAATTATACAGTCGTTCAAATCTGAGAACAGAGTTTAAGGATTATCCATATTCAGCATGTCATACCAAATCAACACCAAAGCACATCTGCAAATCAATTTTCATTTACTATGTAAATAGAGTCAAGTTCATTCTGTAAAGTTTAATGTGTATTTGCCTGAAAGGGTAGAAACTATTAAGCCATAAGGTACTATACCCTGATCAAATACTGCTGTGAACTTAAGATCTAAAACCAAAAAAAAGAAAGTTTCACATTCAATAAATCAAAGACTCGAACTATACACCTAGAAGTCCATTTAGCCCAACCTCCCACCCCTGACCTGAAAAGTGAAAAAACTGAAGTCCAGAGAAGAAATATAATTAATTTTCAAAGATTTCTCAATCATATATGATAGACACAAAAATACAGAAAAGCTAAGATTTTCTGAGAATTTAATTTTTAAAAAGTACCATTTTATTGAAAGTGTATTACTTGATATTGAACTTGTGTATTAAGAGAAAACTTTGTGTCCTTTGAAGGTTTAATTTCTATGAGTTTATCTTTATAATATCCATGGAAGATATGGTGGGGTATAGAGAATGATGTCCATATATATAAAAGTAAACAGACCTACTTTCATACTCAATCACTTTGAAACTAAGTGACAGTGCTAAAAAACAGCTTTGCTCAGAAGGAAAAAAAAAATGTTACTAGAGGTGATACAGACATTCTTTACTAAGGAAGTCTTTATCTGCTGGTCCAAACAAGATTCCTCTCAAGTCTAATGGACCAAGAGGACATTGATTCACTTAAAAAACAAGTAAAAACGGAAAGTTCTCCATTTATCAACCAAAGAGCATTAAAATGTAGGTAGGGCACAGCAGAAATGGATTCTTTTAAGTTTCTAATTTTAAATTTAGGATTCTTGTTGGAAATTCATGTTGACTAATGTTGAATGACCACTATTCATTATTCCTTAACTGAATAATGTAAAAATATCTTCATATTAGCTGTATTCACAATGTACACTACTGTCTCCATTTTTGTTTAAGCTAACATTGGGCTGCTAACTTTAAACTTCTGGAACATTATCTTACTGTTTTAAGTCAGTCTGAAGAACTTCCCTGATACCATGGCTATTTACCAATTTTGACAAATAATTATTGACACATTATGCTAATAACAATATAAACTAAGCTTCTCTCCTCTAGAGATTTCAGCTTCAAGCTCAAGAGAAACCCCGAGGGATCACAATGGAGCTACTTAAGAGGACTCTAGGGAGTAGAAAATCCGAAGAACTGTTAAGTTATATTTCACATCCAGCATTCTAATTTAAGATTGTTCTAATTTGAGAGAATAGGAAATGATCATATGGGACTCTAAAACTAACAGCAAATGCCCAATTCGATTGATTACATTTTTCGATTCCTATAGCCAAAGAAAATAACATTAGTCAAGAAAACCAGTTATTTTATTAACTCTGTCATAAATATTGTATAATAATAATAATAAAAAAAATCAGGGCCCCCATGCTGAGAAACACTAAATCAGTAAAGGCAAAAAGAATAGTGATTGGCATTTTTCAAAAGCAAAGTTATTAAAAGAGGTAGGAGAGAAATGTCCTAAGCTCTCTTCCCATTGCCATAGGAACCACAAATTAAAAGGGTAAAGTAGTTGCAGGCACCTTGTCTCCTGATTGGCTGGCTTGAAGAAGAACTCACAAAAGCTAACTGGTCTGTTTCTATATGGAGTTGGTTTGAATATCCTGCCCTGAATCCTTCTCAAAGAGGCAATTCTTTTAAAAGTTACCCAAGAGGTATTTTATGTTAATCATCACTAATGTCACTATGATTTAGAAATCTGCCTTATTATAGGTTTCTAAAATCCCCCAGTTTTTTCTCTAAACCACTTCCCAAAAAATCATTACCAGCCCCTTTATGCCTATCATTAACATGTTTGAGATAACCAAGCCGAGTGGCTTAAATACTATTCCATTCAACAACCAAAAAAACACCTTATATCTGCAGACAGAAAAGCAATTAACATTCTCTCTCCTCTCCAGGAGGGAATCTTGAGAATGTGCAATTAACACACACACACACACACACACACACACACACACACAC